AAATCTTTATTTTCATTTAGGGTGTTAAGGTCACTATAGTCAATCTTATTTTCACAATCTTCATTAAAAAGTTTAGCAAAATATCTCATCCATCTTTGTTGAATATCATCTTCTAAGAAAAATATTTTTTGATCTTCATCTTTAATACACTTCACTTGAACTAAATCCTTACTACTCCTATCTCTTTGTTTGGCTAACTTATACATATATCTTTCTCCCTCTTTAGTATCTAATCTATTATATAAATCACTAAAAGCTAATGTCTTTGCATCGCATATTGCTTTCTTAGCATCCTTACGAGCAACTTTATATATTTCCCAATTATCAGAATTTTTAAAATTAAACCAATTTTTATAACAAAGCTTCTTATTTTTAATTTTTTCTTGCACATTAGGATTCCACCACCAACTATTTTTACTATTAGGAGCTTTTCCCTTTGATACTCCAAGGACATCTTTTGCAATATTCTTAATATCACTAGCCACTTTTTCCCACTTCTTAATATATAAGCCTCTAGATATTATATTTCTATGTACTCAAAGTGATTTTAGAAGATACTTCCAAAGAAAGTGTTTCTGATGAGGACATCGTCAGAGATTGCGACACATGTACCATCAGGAGATGCCGGAGATCGACGGCCACGATCATGATCTTTATTTTCATTATTTTATGTAGTAGTTTAATTTTATTTTATGTTTTTCCGTTTTTGCCCTTATTGGTATTTGGTAGCTCTTGTAGTCCAAGGGGCATTTTAGTCTTTTATTTTTCTTTGTCATTGTGAGGCCTATTTATATGACCCTTCTCTTGTAATAGTTAGTTTTTGATGAATGAAGAATATTTGCCACTTATGATCTCTTTGTGAGTTCACCTTCCTCGATTCTTAGTGAGTTCGTAGGAGAAGCTAGATCTCTTTGTGAGTTCTAGATCTTCTTGTTCTACCAATTTTCTTCCTTTGTTTCTTGTGATCGATTCATCGTTGTGGAGATTCGGGTTGGAGCATTCGTGAAGAGTGGAATTCACGCTTGAATCCAAAGATTTTCCCCTACTGATTTCCCTCTCTTGCTTTTTGCTGCCGTCTAATCCAAGCAGCAAAGCGGCCGGCCACCTTGTGTTTTCCCCTGTTTTCGCCGGCCAGAAAAGCAGCCACCACCGGCCAGCCTCCCGCCGGCCAGCGTCCGGCCACCCGCCAGCCAGATTCCCGCCGATCATCCCAGCCGCCCCTTCCTGCCGCCTCCCCACTTTGAACTCCAGAAATTGCCATTAATTTCTTTGAATAAACACCTTCCTAATTGGTGCTCATTCATTAACAAGCCATTAATGAGATTAAAGCCAAATTCAAATTTTCAAGTTTGAATTCCCTCTCATTTCAAGTTTTGGGAAGTTCTTAAGCTCTAATTAAATCTGAAATTAAAATTCAGATTTAATTGAATTTCTTACTTAAACTTGGATCCCACTCTCATAACTCCTAAATCTCTCTCTCTCCTCCTCATATGGCCGGCCACTCTTAGTGGGCCCCTCTCTCTTTCAAATGACATATTAACACCACAAATTCAGCCCAAATCCCCCCCTCTTTACCGCCCCCTTCCCTCCTTGATTTAATTTGAATTTCAAATTAAATACCACCATTAAACCTCCCAAATTCTGAAATTAATCAAAAATTCCTGCACGCTACCATGTGGATCCCACCATAACCAAGCTCCCCTCTTCTCCCGGATGCTCCATCAACTCCTGGCAAGAATGCATGGACGTTGGATCTTTAACGGCCGCCCACCCGCTCCTCCAAATCCGGCTTCTTCCCCGGCGACGAGTCCTCGCGGGATCACTTGTCTACTAGTGGCATCGCTAAGTCTACTTACGATTCTCCTCCGCTAGCCACCACTTTCAAAACGAGTGATGGACCTCAAGGTGAATGATCTAAATTTTAAACATGTGGCTTTAATTAGTAGTAGCTATTTGTATTATCTAGTTTATTTTGGTTATCTTTTGCAAGACTCTTGTAATTCTTAAATGTAATCACTGCCGTTAGCTTAATCTATCACGAATTTTCTTGAATCCAACTTGAGTAAGCTAGATTTTATCGTTAACATTGCAAAGTTAAACTCTCATTAATCTCTAACGTGCAATTCATGTTTCACCGCATGTTGTTTCACATCAGTTTCCATGGACTAATTTTTTTGTAGTGTGGTGTTTATATAGAATTTTCAACTACGGTAATATTAATATGTAAAGACTTTCTCTATTTAATAAAATTTTAACTAAAAATTACTGGAAATTACCTGAGAAATATGATATATGAATCACCAAAAATGTCTTTAACTAATATGTTGCCGGACTGGAGTGTTGTGTTTAATAACATTTGTATCCATGATTTCTTGAAAGTGTGCATCTTGCATTAATTAAAGCAGAAAGAAAAGTACAAGTGGGTACATGCTGGTATAGAAAATCCTAACTATGTCTTCCCAGGACAAAAGAAAAGCAAAAGGGGAGTAGTAGATCTATATAAAGCATTCCATATACAATTACAAGTAAGAGTTCAAGAGCCAAAAAGAAGAAACCCCTTGGTTGGCAAGGTGAGTTCCCCATTATGTTTATAGTACGTACCAACAAGATAAACTAGTGGTCATTTCATAGGATTGGGACACCAAAGAAGGGTTTAGTCTCCATGTTACTGTCCACTGAGGAGCATGCTGGGTGGGATGAGAGGCTTTGTTGGGCTGAATTTCAGCAGATGGCTGTTGTATTGTCTGCTTTGAAGGAGCATGGTGCTGATTTTTAGTGGGGCATGAGTCAATCTTGTGGCCAATGTAGCCAAAATTGAAGCATATATGAGAAAGTCCCTCATATTCAATTCTTTTGAAGAATCTTTCTTGCAACCCCATTATCCAAACCCCTCACTATAGCTGTCTTGCAAGGTCAATTTTAACACACACTTGAGCATAAGAGCTGTGTCCCCATGAGCTCGTTTTGGAGTCCATCCATAGAGGTTCCCCAATCATGCTAGCAATACAAGTGATGTTTGAAGTATCCCAATATATTAGGGGAAGTTGCGGTAGTCAAATCCAAATCGGAGAATAAAATCCTTGTAGAGAGTTGGGGGAGAACGTGGGTGACCACCAATCCAACCCCATGATGTTTTCAGCAATGGTCCAAAGACCTCCCACAAGCACGGTATCACGGGCATGTTCACTCTCAAAGATACATATGAAGCAGTTGAGAGCAATTGTAATCAATTGAAACTCTCCCAAGTGAGACCATCTCTTCATGAGCTTAGTAGGAAAAAAGTGGTGGAGAAGTCGATTGTAAATGAGCTTGCCCACCAGTGTGCTTTGATGTCTGGACAAATTCTCTTGGACTGACTCCATCCTGATTTTCATAGAAATACCATTCTCGGAGATGAACTCTTCCTTGAAAATCTTCTTCGATGGGATGAAACTGAGTTTGTTCCAGCCGAGAGACCCAAAAGGCTGGTAAGGGGCTCGAGCTGCTTGTTTGATGTACACCTGGCCAAAAATACCTAGCTGGCTAGTTGGGGCATAATCACAATCACCCTGTGTGCTGTTCACAGAATTCTTAACATACAATGGCTGTCCACACTTGTCTTGTTTGCTTCCAGAATCATTCAATTCAATATTAACTTCAGCATTAACTTCCTCATCCATTTGAATTTCATTGGCCACATCCATATAGACAGGAATTTCAGCTGAATCACGCACCTGGGGGTCCGCCTGAACCATTTCGCAAGCTGCTCTGGAGGAGTTAGCTGAAAACTGTAGCTTTATGTCTACTAATTATTCAATACTAAAGGATAACTTACGATAAAGTTTTTGGCCGTCTTTTAGCACACATTTACATTTATTATTCAGTTTTAATCAGTTGTTGAATCTTGCCATTATGGCAAACTTTATGGAGCTAGCTCTTAAAAAAGTATTTCAATTCATTTTGGTAACTTGGACTATAAATATTCAGGCTCTACTTAGTGTAATTCGTGCTTACTATTTCCAACGCTGCAGATCTCAAACAAGCCTCAAAACATTTTAAATAATTTACAAAAAATATTGAGCTTTTGCTTGAAAGTTTCTTCCCATATTATTGACTTTTTTATTTTTCAGCACATTCTTCAAAGAATTCCATGAATGCCTTGCTAAAACAGTCAAATCATTGTTGAAAAATTCTGAGACCTCTGAAGCCATTTTTCTCAGCCCAAAGAGGGGTGATTCATTGGACAAGTTTCTAGCAAAAATCAAAGATACGGGTCTAGATTATGATCTGATTGAGGACTATGATAGTAAAGTTTGGAATCTTCATCAGAAATTTCGAAATGAAAATGACAGCTGGCCCAACTATGATGAAGATCACTGTTATCCTCTCCTCCTAAGGATCACCTTGCAAAAACCAAAGACCGCTTCTACAACAAAGCCGCCCTGAATTGGTAAAGCCTCTTTCTTTTCTTTTATTTTCTTTCTTTCTTTTTTTTTTTTTTTTTTTTTTTTTTTTTTATTTTTATCCTACTTTGAATCCAAACAAAATGATTTGTGAGCATGCGCTCAAGATTGGACTTGGTGGCATCAGATGATTTTGCATGGATGGCTTGAAAGTGATCAATTATTTTCTCTTTTGGGAGAAATTTTTTGATGATTTCTATGATTATTAGTTCCACTAAGTTATCAATTGAATAAGAAAAAGGTTAAAATGGTTGACGTGGAAGCTACAAGGAAATCAAGAATAAGCAGGGAAAAACCTGCAGAAATAGAGAATTATAAAACTAGTGTTTGTACTGTATATTTCTTCAATACCCTTTTCTCATATAACTTTTCTTCTATATAGTATTGCTACTGACCAGAGAACGATACTATATTAGTTATGACGGTCCAAAAGCTGAGAATATACATAAAGATGTATTAAATAGTAATAAAGCAGAAAGTATAATGGGGAAGAACGGAATGGCTGTAATGTGCCGCAGGAATAAGATAGTCCACACCAGTTCTCCTCCGCTTCAAAGCAACTCGCACTCGAGGTAAGAAGTTATATGCTGCCCATGCTGGATGGATGATAAACATAGATATCGGCTAAATTAAAAGTGGAAGAAGCATATCTGACGGTAGATCAACAATGAAAGTATTATCATTGATACGCTTGACAATAAGTATAGGTCCCATTTTGCGTGGACTTAATTAATTTGGAGTATGTGCCTGGATGAAATCGTTCTTTGCTAGTCGGACCATAACAAGATCATCTGTCTGGAATACGTTTTGTCGACTGTGAGCATCCACTTGTTGTTTATATTGGGTGTTTGCTGTAGTGAGTTTTGCACGAACCTCTTCCAGCATGTTGGTAATTCTTTCAGTTGTATAAGAAGCTGTTTGTTGTGGCATTTGGGGATAATAGCAATGTCCACTAAGTGGTTGAGGGCTTTAGTATATACAATATTGAAAGGGCACTTGCCCGTTGATCCGTTGGCCATGAAATTGTAACCAAATTCGGCTTGGCAAAGAAATTCATCCCATTGCTTTAGATGGTTTTGAGCAAGGCATCTTTACATATTATCGAGAATACGGTTCACAACTTCAATTTGACCATCCGATTGAGGGTGATAAGTTGAGTTCAATTTGTTTTTTAGTCTTGAAGCATTTCCAAAGCTCTCTCTAAAATGGACTAACAAATTTAACATCACAATCTGAGGTGATGATGCGGGGAATGCCATGGAGGCGATTGATCTCTTTAAAGAAAAGGAGGGAAACATTTAAGGCAACAAATGTCTTCTTGCATGCTACGAAGTGAGTCATTTTGAAAAATTTGTCAACAACTACCGTAATAGAATCAACTCCCTTCTTTGCTCAAGTCCAGTACAAAAATTCATGCTTTGTCAACAACTACCGTATAGCTCCCATTTTGCGTGGACTCAATTTCTACTGAAGAACTCTATAGGTTTATCCTCCCTTGATAAGACAGCTCCTATGCCTACCAACAAAGTGTCCATGTCATCATGAAAATGTTTGTTAAAATCTTGTAGGATTAAAACTGGAGTGAAGCTTAAAGCTAATTTCATCGATTCAAAACTATTTTGTTTTTCTTGTGCCTATTTAAATTATTTGGTTTTGAGACAATTAGTGATTGGTGCCATAAGAATGTTGAATCCATGAATAAATCGTCGATAAAAATACGCAAGCCCATGAAAATTGCAACCTCTGAAACTGATTGTGATGGTGGCCAATCCAATATGGCAGAGACTTTGCATGGATCCATATGGACGTTGATGGAGGATATAATGAAACCAAGAAAGTGAACATATTTTGTAGCAAATTCGCATTTTGGAAAATTTAAGTATAGCTTGTGAACTCGCAATAGGCCAAAAATGGCTGCAAGATATTGTAAAATATTTTCAAATGTTGAACTATAAATCAATATATCTTCAAAATAAACGACACAAAATTTACCCATAACATATTTGAGTATCTCATTCATTAGGCACATGAATGTTGACTGTGTGTTACACAGAACAAAATGCATGACTTTCTATTCATAAAGTCGTTCACGCATTTTAAATGCTATTTTTCATTCGTCTCTGGGTCAAATTTGTATTTGATGATACCCACTACATAGTTCTAATTTTGAGAAGATGGAAGCTCCAGCCAACTTGTCCAGCATGTCCTCGAGTCTAGGTAATGGGAATCAAAACTTGATGGTTATCTTATTTATGGCTATGCTATCCACAAATGTATGCCAAGAACCATCCTTCTTTGGTATGAGCAATATAGGAATAGAACAAGGGCTTAGACTTGGTTGTATCTAACTTTTTTGTAGCAAATCTTCTAAAATTTCCTGTAGAGCATTATGTTCTTTGAGGCTCATCTTATAATTCGGAATATTTGGCAACGTTCCGGCAGGTTGAAAATCAATTTGATGTTGCAAGTTATGAAGAGGTGGTAAACAAAAGGGAAATTCATCTGGAAATTAAGTGAGCAAATGACTTATTTCTTGTGGTAATTCTGGATGTTCTGTGCAGGTGTGCTACATGGTGACAACCAAAGCAAAAATTGCAGAAGTTTTCTTCCACGAATGCAACACGGCGCACCTAATCACGATGTACATAACAAACTTTTCTGGCGTGGTTTTGGTAGAAACATCAGTGGACTGAGGTAACAATCAGATTTTGTGGTCCTTCCATTCAAGAGAGTATGTATTAGAGCGTCCACCGTATATGGAAATAGAATAGAATTGGCAAGGCTGGCCCAAAATCAAATAACATACATCCATTTCAAGCACATCATAGAGAACTTCACACATATAGTTCTTCCCTATATAGAATGTAACTCGGCACGTATCCGTCAAAAGACGATCCAAGTCCTTTTTAACCCAACTAATTTTGTAAGTATTTAGGTTGTTAGTTGTTTTGAGTTGTAGTACTTGAACCAAGGATTTAGAGGTAATATTCTCAGTGCAGCTGCTACCAATGAGCACATCACAGACTTTGCTATTGCTGGTGCTGTGTTCAAAAAATGAAATGGTGTTGGGAATTAGCAACCTGCCGTGGGACCAATAACAATTTCTCCATCTCACAAACACAAGTTCTCCTTCATCAGCCTTTAATTCTTTCATTTCAACATCTTTCTCCCTTGCTGCAATAGACGCTTCTTTTGTCGCATAGTCCAATAACTACAGTTGTCGGTGAGGGCATTCCTTAGATTTATGCCTCGAAATGATGAAAGCATTTGATGGTTGTGGGTTTAGCATAAGGATTTTCTTTTGTAGGCATTTTTGTTTTGTTTGGTGCTTTTGGTTTAGCACTAGTCCTGACAACATTCCCTACCTACCCTGGTGCTATTTAACCTACAGGGACTGAACCTCTGTTTCCATCAACTGTTTGCTCACTTGAATATCGACGAACGGAATGGCTACGAGAATGTCTGTTAATTTGTAATTCGACCTTGAGAGTGAAGTTTATCTCCTATGATAATGTCCAAACTAAATTTACTTCTAGTTTTTGCTAGACTCATTCAAATTATTTCGAGCACTTAACCTAAAGAATTCGTCATTATACTTACTGACAGTTTGATTGACTTGCAAATGATGTTGATACTTTAACCACAACATTTGCTCGAAATCGGTGGGTAAAAAATACCCCCTTAACAACTATTTCATGCAGTACTAGTCTATGACACAACCCTTTCCTTCTCGCCTCCTCTGCTGCAAGAGTTGCATCCATCATGCACTGGCTCCCCCCTTTCAATCTACAGGCGACATATTTCACTTGTTTGTCAAGGTGGAATCTCCATGTACTTAAAGAATGTTTCAATTACTCGCTTCCGGTGAAGATAGTCTTTGATGTGAAGTTGTCCGTAATAAAAGGGGAATGCCTAACTTCACGCGGAATTCACCTTGCTGCTGGTGTTGGGCATTTCGTCGTCGTGGCAGCTCATAATAATTTTGGTGGTTGTCCTATGCAGTTTGAAACATCAAAATGCTGTTGTAACTCACCATCATCCTCTGAATCAAAACCAGTGTGAATTGCTCCGTTGGGAATACGAGCACTTTTCTTACCTATTGCGAGTGTGGTTGCCGACTTCGAGAATCGTCCTGCATTGCTAGTCATCCCAACCAATTTCATTGACTGAATTTCATTCCTAATTTTCACATAAAAACGAAAAATCTCGGTAGTAAGTTGCTCCAATTGGGAAGTAATACTCGATTGAGCTGCACGAAGGGAATCTAAGCTTCGATCATTGTCGAGAGCTGCCCGCTTACTGATTTCCGCCATTAACGCCCGTTGCCGAGCTTTGATACCAATCTGACATGGAAGCTATAAGGAAATCAAGAATAAGCAAGGAAAAACCTGCAAAAACAAAGAATTATAAAACCAGTGTTTGTACTGTATATTTCTTCAATACCCTTTTCTCTTACGACTTTTCTTTTATATACTACTGCTGCTAACCAGAGAACGATACTATAGTAGTGATAACAATCCAAAAGCTGAGAATATAGGAAAGATGCATAAAACATTAATAAAGCAGAAAATAGAGTAGTTGGGAAGAACTAAATGGTTGTAATGTGCCGCAGGAATAAGATAGTCCATATCAATGGTCCTTTCACTTTTTGTATGGGGCCATTGTAATCATAACTATCTTAAATGTATTCAATTTAGTCTTTTAACCTCAAATATGATTCAGAATAGTTCATTTAGTAAATTGTTTTATATAAGTTTTGAAGAGTTGAGAGACTCTTATAAATAAGTAATCTAGAGACTATTTTGAACTTTTTTTTCTCGCATCATTTTATAAATTAAACTTTGATGCAGATTTTGAGTTAGCCTTCAAGTACTTGTGCTTATAAACCGCTCAGTTTTCAGTATCTACCCATTTGATCTGTAGTGTGAATTATGTGATAATTGCTAGAGTAAACCTTGTCAAATTATAGAGAAAGCTTTGTTTCTTTATATCAAGCATGCTTAGTTTTAGTCAGAGCACCTTTTTCCTTAGTGAATTTCATCATAATACTTTTGCAAAGTCTTAATGATATTGCAAGTCTGAACAGAGTTTTGGGATGGCGTCTATATACTGCTAAAATTTGAGTACGGCTAACTTTTAAGGATTTTGGCCTTGAAAATACCCTTAAATGCTCAAATAAATGACTATGAGAAAATGCCTTTGTCGGTGAACTGATAGGAGCTCAATGACTTGTATGTTGTACAAAATTGGGGTGAATATTGAGAATAATTTAAGAGAATATGAAAATTGGTTGATATGTAGAGATTGTTGGCATGATTGCTTTAGCCTTTTGTTGAAAAATTGATGCAAGATGGGAGTCAATCTGTTTTGCCTTGGTGCTTGAGCAATTGAACTAGGCTCGGGTGAACTTGGGTTTGCTCAGCCCATCGAGATCCTCTTTGCTCGAGGGTGTATCTTCTCATGCGAAGGAAGTGATCGATAGGGATGGCCTTCTACTTAACCCTTACTCTAATGTTGAATGGAGAGTTTCAATGCGTGAATTGAAAATCTAGCGAAGATGGGTAACTTTCTGATAGGAAATGGATGCAATTTCTCGAAATCAGCAAACGATAATAAGAAATTAGGAAGAAAAACACACCAAAGCTATTTTTATTACAAGATATATGAAAGTAAATAGCAAGATACAGCTGGATCTTCAATTGGAGAGGAAGATCATGCTCTCTCAAATCCCTAACCACCAGCTAGAGCCCAAATAACCTAAGAATAAATTAAATTCAACAAACTCCGAAAACATTATTTGAAATCATCCTATTGTTAGCCTTAAATAGGCTCCCATAATTCCCTCCCAAATCAGCCCTCTTTTCCTAAATAATTCCCTTTTAGATTTGAATTCAAATTAGTTTTTTTTTTCCTAATTAATTCTATCTCAGTTGTGATTAAAATTTTTCTAAACAATCCCCCATTAATTCCCCCTGCTTTTCTCTAAATAATTCCCTCTTAAATTTTGAATTCAATGTAGATATCTTGCTTAAATAATTCTCTTTGATTAAGAACCTTCTTAAACAGCTCTCTCTTGACTAAGAAACTTCGTGATTCCCTCCAAATCAAATCGGCCGGTCAATCACTTTCATCTAGGTGGGAGGTGAGGAAAGTTTAAAGTGGGCATTGTTCAATCGAATTTACTTTGTATGGACTTCACAGTTCTTCAAAAACAAGAGGTCCAATGTCTTCTTTTAGGATTTTTTTTTGAAGTTAATGATGAATGATGATGAAGAACTGTCTCATGTCGACAATATTGAGTGTTATAATGTTGATGGCGATGACAATGAGAGGGGTTGATGATTTATTAGCCTTAGGGAAAGTTTGGCCAAGGTTCCAAATAAATGTGAAAGGTGTATAAAAAATAAAAGAACACTTGTAATGGTTGTAGTGGTTGCAAATGGTAAGATGTAAATTTGAGCTCCGTAGCTTATGGTGCTGTGACTATGAGGTGGAAGGGCTTGTAAGATTTAGATTGAGTGAACTAGCTTTCTAGCAACAAATGGAGGCTGAGAGCTTCTAAATGGAATCAAAATCTCTGCGTTTGGGTTTATTAAAGGCTTCGGGAATTGGGATGATTTTATGTATGTGGATGCTATTATGATGATCATATTGTGGGAGCGGAGTTTGAGAAGAAGCATAAGAAGCTAGATGGTAAGTATCTCTATCAAAAGTAACGACTGGGCAGTGGTCACTAAGGCTTTGTTTGAGGTAGTTTTATTACTACTTTTTAAAATAATTTTTTAATTCAAAAAATTTTAGCACTAAAAATTTGTTTTAAAAAATAATAAGAAAGCTGTCCCATATCAAGCCTAAGGTTTCATTTGGGACAGTTTTTGTACTGCTTTTAAAATGGCTTTTTAGTACAAAAATTTTAAATTCAAGAAATCTTTGTATTAGAAAGCTGTTTTAGAAAGCAAGAAGAAAGTCATCCCAAACAAAGCCCAAGTCTAGAGCCAAAAAGCGAGGTTTCTCAGTTTTTGTTAATGATGCCAAAACTTCTTTCATTGCATGATGAAAGAAGTTTTATACTAGAAAATTGTTTTAGAAAGCGATAAAAAAACCAAAATTTTTTGATGTTTTATAAAACAGATTTATAATACCAAAATTTCTTGAATTAGAAAGTTTTATACTAGAAAATTGTTTTAGAAAGCGGTAAAAAAATCATCCCAAATGAAGCATAAGTCTAGAGCCAAAAAAGCGAGGTTTCTCACTTTTTTGTTAATAATGCCTAACTTCTTTCATAGTATTATTGGCATAGCCACCTTTTATTTTAAAAATTTACATAATAATCCTAACTAGTTGAGAGAGAGAGAAAGAGAGATTCTTAAGCCGCCTTCAAAATTCTAATTGAAAAGTTCGTTTTGTTTTGTCAACTTATAAAAGTAGAAGAAACAAAAATTCTAAATTTATTCTGCATTCCCCTCTTGTGCTTCCCTCGCCTATATTCTGCGACGTATACAGCCCGATCTTCAGGAAGTCTAAGCTAAGTTGGATTTGAGTTGCCGGACTTGTCTCAATCAATTAGTTATTCACATGTCTTCAATGCTACCACAGTCCAAATGTGTTTGTATGACACGTATATAATGAGCTTGTGATGAGGTGGAAGAACAGCTACTGTTAGTATCTTATATCCTTTATAGTGTCATGAGTCATCTTTGCCTTTGTTAGGTGGTTGGATAATATTTTTTAAGTTTAGGGTTTAGGGTTTAGGCTGTCGTATGCTTCACAGGTATGTTAGAGATCTAACGGGGCAATGTGTCATGATAGGGTTTGACCCTAATTTTGGAATTATCTGTTTTACAGTACCGTATTTTTCTCTTATAAATATGTTGTAAACAACTTAGGGTTAGTAAGTTGTTTTGTTCTCTGTGTTTTTTCTATAGTGAAGTCGTTCTCCTTTCTCTCCAGTGTTTTTTCTCATATTTGAATTTTTCACGTAAATCCTTTGTGTTCACATTTGTGTTTTGCAGATCATGATTTATTATTTTTCTTTGTGTTTGGTTCATTGTACCCTAAGAAGGTTAATTCAATTTTTAGAATTCTGATTCATCAGATTCCTTCTGTTGTTCTTGGATACATCTCTGCTTCACCGCTTTTAGGTTTTAAGATTCCCTTTCATTTTTAGTAGATTGATTGCCCTACTAATCTCCAATCATCCTCCCTTTATAGGCCACTTAGTTCTAAGAAATTATTAAGTGCAGAGTCCGGACGTGTCCGGAGGTCAATCAGAGCGCGCCACATCATCCGAACACCGCACGCAATAATTTTTGCCTTGTTCTTGCTCCCACGGGAGGTACTTTTCAACTATCTCAAGCCGCTCTCCGACTTGTAGTCACATGCTGATTCCAGTTAAAAATATATATATTTCGGCAAATGTTTTAATTATTTTTTATCTATAAAAAATAAAACATAGAATTTTATACAATTACATATAATAATAATGCCAAATATTGCATCTGAAAGTTCATTCTTTTGGATCACACTAAATATTATTTTTTTTTCCTTCATTTCAGGCCCCAAAAAAGGAACAAAGAGGTCAACACACGCAATTTGATATCATGGATGGATTAAATAAAAATCAATGTCTGCAAATTGGAAGCAAAGCTTGGATTGGTGTGATTTTTCAAAGATTAAGACTTTGCATTAATGAATATTTCCACGTTTTAAATATTTATTAAAAATAAGACTTCCTAGGTTTAAAATTCTTCACCGGTGGTTGATGCCTAGCTTTCATGGAAATCTTAGTTTGGTATTTTACAATATCAAATATATTAAATAATATCTAAATTTTCATTAAAATATAAATTTGCTTTTTTTAGTATGTCAATGATTGGTATTTTCAACATATATCATTGAAATCAACGCTATTTATAAAAGTTATCATATAATCCACAAAAATGAATTAAAATTATTAATATATTTTATCAAAATTAATATACTCTCATGTTTGTTCATTTTCCATCTATTTTGAATTCATCTTGTCCAAATGAATTTGAAATGCATCACAATGCCAATATGATTTTGTGAAATTATTCTACGCGGAGATCAGATATAGAATGTCGTTCGGAGATCAATCAAAATGCATTGCGTTAGCGGTACCGAGCCGCAATATTGAGCGAAGGGGTGATGTGGCGTATTTTGGTTGGTCTCCTGAAGATGTTTGGCGTCCGCTTAGAATAATTAATATGAGATTTATGATCGCTCTCGTGACCATGAACATGTAACTTCCTCGCTGTGTAACTTCCACCTACGACTAATATGGCATTGCCAAACTTGCAATGCCATCACAATTTTGATGAACCTATAATGTTTGCAACTTATCTAAGTTTTCCCCCACCACGCTACCGACTTGCCACCATAATCACAACACTCTTGTCACATGTAGTTCTCTCGTCTCCGATGAAACCGCTTGCGTTATATAGGTTTCTTTTTTTATTTTTCATAGTTTTACCTCTCATCTTCATTAGTTCCAATCAAACACAAGAAATTATCTATGAATTTCAAATACCTTATTTTAATGCTTTTAAAAGTAATTTTATAGTACAAAATTTTCTAATTCAAAAAATTTTTAAACAAAAAATTTACTTAAAAAGTAGTTAGAAAACTAACTCAAACGAATCATTAAATAAATTGTATAAAAAATATTAAATAAAACTTGTAAATAAGCTAATTTTAAAGGGGAATATTGAATGATCTTGATTGCCTAGAATTTGACCAAGGACAATCAATCATTGTATAATGGGATTGAGCAAATTTAGGCTAGTAGGTTGGTGGAGGGTTGTTAGTGGTAGGGGACCCCTTTGCTTTAAAAATAAATATTTATTTCCAATAAATTTTCTTTAAACAAATCATTTAAATATAAATTACTAAAACATTTTTGAAAATTTACATACCTCATAATCCTCTTAAATATAAAAATATAATCTAAAGATTTTTTTTTTCAAGTTGGCTAAAATTTTTCAAATTGATTTTTAACTTTGAGTCTATTAAAACTCTAATAGATTTCAAATATAATTATTACCTCTAAATATAAAACAATTTCTCTTGCTTTCTCGTACTTGTAAATAAAATCTTTCAACATATCTATATGAAATCTTTATTGGATGTTCGACACAACAGTCATCATTAGCCATCATAATCACTCAGCTGTCATCGTTTGACTAAAGCCCCCATTTGACTATCAACATTTGATTGTTATAATCAATTCATTATCATTTGACTACTTTTGTCTAACCACCATTATCTAATCACTACTATCCAATTGACATCGTCTGACTTTCGTCTTCGTCCACTCACTCTAAGAAAGAGCGGACTTTTGTAATTTCAAATGCATCATATATTATTTTAACCAAGTTAGGCCTTAATTTTTCTTCCATTTTTTTTAATTTTTCATGTAAAAACTTTAACGCCTCACAAAATTAGGACATAAAACTCTCTTTCTATTGCTAAGAATCTTTTAGCACATAATAAAATATAATAAACATGTAATTAACCAAGATAAGATAGCTTTTAATATTTTAATCTCAAAAACAGCCAAACACATCTCACATTAAAAAAATCACTAATCACCATCATACGGTCATAATTTTTAATTAGTCCAATCCAATACACATTACAATAATTAATCTTGTATTAATATTCTAAATCCTAAACCCTAATCCTAAATTATGAACCTCTAATCCTTCCAATGCCTCTCACACTCCATTAGATTATTAGATGCTTTAAGCACTCAATATACCTAATAATATACAAAGGGAGTGTGGGGCCCATAATGATCTATTTTTCCTTAATCAAATTTTGATGAATATGAAATTAAAAATTATTAATTTTTTAACATGAGTATCATTAATATTTATATTATACTCATTTTAAAATAAATTCAATAATTTTGATATTCATCTTAACAAAAAAAAAATTTGATCATATCTAACATTGTTAGAAAAAGAGACGGTGGAGGTGCGTTAGCCAAAAGACGATAACGCTAGCGAAGATTGTCGGCCACGCGTTTATTGCGACCGCGCTGCTCGTGTCCACCACACCCATGAATACCATTGTGTCGTTGATTAATGGTACCTTCGCGACTGTCGGAATCTTCTCCCCTGCCTTTTGGCTGTAATAAAAACAAAAAAATCTCAAAATTAAAACAATTCTTAACAAATTTTATTTATTAATCATAATTGTAATTAACAACTTAACTAGGTCCATATAATACAATTTAGAGAAATTTACGTACATACCACTTTATAACATTCTATTTACATATCTAACACCTAAAACTTTAATATTACATACATACCACCCTATATTATTTTAATATCAAATATACCACTTATATTTCTTTCCTACCACTCATATATTTCATTTCTACCACTCATATTTCATATAAAAATGAACAAAAAATATTTTTTACTTTAAAAAATACTTTAATAATTAATAATAGTGAGTAATTTTAATGATTCTGAAAATATTTACATGGGAAAAAATTCAAAGTAAGTTTACTTATCAGAAAAAGATGGAGACAGATAAAAGAGAGGATACACCAATAATCCCACAATTGCTGGAAATCCAGCTAAAAAGCTATTCTTGCTACGTTTGAATTACGCGCTTTCCAGTAAGCACTTATCAATTATCACCAAACAGATAAAAAAGATGCAGAGAAAAGAGGAGAGAGAAAGTGGAGCTGCTGTGTACCTGGTTGTAGCAGGGCAGAAAGTGATTTCGTAATCCGTTCCGGTGGCGCAGGTGAAGGTGGAGCTGGCGTCGTCGTAAGCGTAGCTGTAAGCTCGAGGACAAGCGTTCTTGAAGAATTCCGAGTAGGATGATGGCTTGCAGGTGTTTGGATTCCCGTACTCCCCGCTGCAGCAAAACTCCGGCTTTCCGAAGGCCTCGCAGGCGCTCCGGCAAGCGACGCTCTTGCCTTCATCGTCGCCGGCGAAGACGCGGAGGTCCGATGGACAGAGGCCGTTGATATCAACTGCGCAGCCAGTGGCAGTGCATTTTCCGGTGGCGGCGCCGCTCTGAGGGACGATGAGGACGGGGAGGTTGTAGCCGTCGACGAGGCTGACGTCGAAGAAGTCTAGGCCGCCGCTGCCGGCGAGAGTGAACTCGGCGAGAGTTGTCGGTGGGGCGGCGCCGCTGGAGCAGGCGAGGGTGCCGGAGCCACAGTCACCCGTGGAGCAGGAGAATTTGGCGGTGGATGGGTCGGTGGAGCAGAGAGTGCGACCCCAGAGGCGGCCAGACCAGGACGGCGACATCGCAACCGCGCGCGACTCGCCGCGGGAGAGGGAGAAGCCGGTGGTTGAAACCGGCGCTGTGCCGGCGCCAGAGAGGATGCCCGGCCAAACGGTATAGCCGCAGTTGTTGGTGATAGTAAACGTAGTAGAGATCGCTACTGTAAACGCATAAAAAAGACAACTTTGTTAGAAATTGAAACAGGGGAAAGAAAGAAAACAGGGGAAAATTCTGTCTCACCTGGAGATAAGAGGGACAGAAGACTGAGAAGAAGCCGAAGGGAGGAGGGGAAGGAAGCCATTTTCATCCTTCGACGGAAATGTGAAGAGGAGTAAGAAGAAGAAGAATATAATTATGAAGACTGAGAGGAGATTCGGGATTTATAAAGGAAGATTATACTAGGAAGGAAAAAGGAAACGGTGTTTCTCTCTTATTTTGACTACTTGAAGTTGGGTTACAGCAAAAATGCTGTGGATATTTGTGCATTTCTCAGTGTATGAAAAATATAATTTTTAAATATGTCGGCAGTTTGTTCATGCAAATATCTTTTAATGGAGAGATGTGATAGAACATGAGGAGTTTTGATTGTTTTTTAACTAACTAAGGTCCAATCATAAATTAAATGCTGTAGAGCAGAAAATAAAATTTTATTTTAAATATTAATAATGAATATAAATTACAAAATATCACACTTATATGAACTCTGGAGACAGACCTCATAGATTTAAAAGTTTGAATGATTTGAAGTCACCCAAAAGGTTTGGGAGATCTTTGAGGATTGTTAGGGTGGTCTTTCTCTTGGAGGTTAGAGAAAAGGTCATGGAGGCCGCTGAAGATGATTGTAATGATACTTCCACTTTGGAGCGAAGGATGAGATGACATTGAATGGGTGGGGAGGCCATTGAGAATGGCTTGGGGTCCAGTCTTTAGGTTGTGTGCATATCACATGAACTACATTGATGATCATAGATCATTTCCAGTCGAAAAACTCATTTTTCACTTCAAAATACAGTAATTCATCTCCAATCGAACTTTCTTAGCACCAAAAATAAAAATAAAAAAAAAATTGTGTATATTTTTCTCAATCACACATGCTACCCTTTTTCTCCTCCGCTTTCTATATTTCTCTAAAAAATGCGTTTGTGAACGATGCGACGCCAATATTAGTGTTGCATTGTTAAAAAAAATGAGAGAATGGTGTGCATTTTGCCGTTTGATTGTAGAAGTTTGCGGATGCCTGATAGGGGTATGGAGTTTGGTTGGAGATGCCCTAATTCAAATTTGATTTCATAATTGTTCATCGAAAAGATTTCATTATAGTCGTGTCTTTGTTCATTGATCTTACTTCATGAACAATTGTTTTATGAAGTTATCTAAGTGGTCACTTTTTTTTATTTAAATGTGGAATTCCCCATTATTACGATGTGGGTTTCTTTCCCTAACTTGCGGTCTCATCTTTTTTTATCTCGCATTCTCCACGGTTTGGGATCGTTATTTGGTTAACCCCTTAAAATTGATAATGCCACTACGTGTAATTCGCCCCCTTCTGTTGTTCGCGTCCTTGTCGAATTAGACATCACTAAACCTTACCCTGGTAGAGTTTTTCTTGGTCCGGAGAAGTTTGGATATGTTCAGTTGGTGTAAATGGAAGCCTTTCCTCATTATTGTGGTCATTGCAAGTCCCTTGGACATTCTTTTTTTCTGAAATGACCTAGTTTGCACCCTACTCATGTTGTGAATTATGTAAATGCCTTATATGACCCTCTTATTGTTGGTCAGATTGCTAAGGTTTTGCCCAAGCCGTTGCCTCTTGTTTCATCTTTTGCTTTTGATATCGAAGCATATGAAAATGATATTTTGGGTGCCAATAATTATTCGGTTAAACCTATTGCTTACAAGGGATTTGAGTTTTGTTGTGCCTTCTGAGGTTGTTGTTGTAACCCTTAATCTCTATGAATGGTTGTCCTTCTCCTATTGATTTGGATCCTACCATGAACTGTGTTGTGGGTGATGTTGCTGTTGACAATTTGGATGATGGTATTGGGGGTTCTGCGGACCTCTCACTCTTCCTACTTTTTACTTCTACGTCAGTTAATGATCAAACTAAAATTGATAACACAGCTTTATTTCCTACTGATTACCAGCCACTTGCTTCTCCTATTGTTGTTGAGATGAATTTTTGCCTTGTTAATGCGGCGGTGTTGGCTGTTTCTTCTAACGATGAGTCACCCCGTGCTTTATCTAAAAAGGAGTTGTCGCATGATATTGCAAATCCGACTGACATGTATCCTTTATAGATGTTCTGATCTCTCTAATTTTAAATGTTGCTTTGAAAGCTCATTTGTCTTTGACAAGGAGAATAATTCTTTGAATCACTCTGATTGGCTGGAAGGATTTACTTCCTCGCCTCGCGAGGGTATTAGGGAAGAATTGGATGATATGGTGGATGATTTATATAGTTTGAATGCTGGACGGGTCGTTGAAAAAGCTTTTTGTCATGGTGGTATCAAACGGGGTAGGCAAAAAGCCAAAATGAAGAAGTTGTTTTGCATGTTGTGGTTGTCTTTTGTTGTTGGCCTTCTGTGCCTTATCTGGTTTGAGGTTGGTGTTGGTTCGGTTGCTGGCTGGACTTGTATTTTGGTGGGGTTTTACTGTGTTGTTGGTCCCCCTTTTTTGGATTACCTGGTGGGGTTGTTGGCTTGTTGGTTTTGTTTCTTGGCTTCTTTGAAATCGCTTCTATGGTTATTTTTCTTTGAGTCGGACAATGATGTGATAGTCCTCGTGCTCGCCCCCTAGTCAGCTTTGGCTTGATTTGGAAACCTTGGTGGTTGATCCTTCGTTCTGGCCTTCTTTCTTTACTGGGCTTTCTTGCTACTTCATATTATGCCTCCAACGGATGGTCTTTGACTGACAACAATATGACGCTCTTGTGGCCTTCTTTATTTCTAACTTTGATTTATTGCTTTTTTAGGTTGCATTGAAATCTATCATTTACTTGGCTAGTTTCAGCCTTGTATTTTCCTTTTTGATCTTTTTTTGGACCTTTGGATGTTATCCCCTTTTCAGTTATTGAAAATAAATAAAATTTTAGCTGGGAAAAAATTCTTGGAAAAGAGCTCATATTCCTACATAAGTAAAAATGATTTTACTTCGTTTTCATGGTTTCCTTGTACGTGTCTATTACTTTTTTCCCCACTCTCTGTACATATTCTTTTTTTTTTTTTTTTTTTTTTTGGGACATTTAGGCCATTTAAGGCAAACTCACACACACAACGCATACACATGGACTCGAACCTTGGACCTCTTAGTTGGAAGCCTAAGCTCTCAACCAATAGGCCAAGGGGAGTTGTGTGTACATATTCTCTTGTTACAACATTTAATATAATGGTCAGATTTTAAAGGATAATAAAGTCTATTTTCTTCTTACACATATAATAGACAAAGTTCCCACTCTGGTTGGGTCCAATCATTAATAAGTTTAGGTACCACCACATGACCATTGATCACTTCAATTGGTAATTTGTAAACTTTCAAAATAAGGCTATAGATTCTCATCAAATAGGAAAGGACAGACACCACCATTTGATTATTTTAGAAATATTTTATGGTTAATTTAAAAAATAAAATTTTAATTAACTTACAACAAGAATAGTTTCAATTTACAATTCAAACCAAAAGAAAATAAAGGAATAATAATAATAATAATAAGCAAATTAGGATACTTGAAAATTTTTATGTGGTTGAAGGGGGGTCAAAATGGGCATTCGAGTAGGGTTCAGGTTGAACCCGAAGTTGATCCGGGTCTAATTTAGCTAACACGAACCAAACACAATTTTGTAAATCGGTCAGAAATTTAGACCCAGGTTGGACTCGCCAGATCTCCGGGTTGACCCGACCTGGATCATAACTAGTCGAGCGTGACAGGGTGTGGGTGTACTAATCCAGGCGAGGTATGTAGGAGCCCGAGAGAGGTATGTTTGTGTGGGCATGAGTTCGGGCAAAGCGTTGTGCAAGCGGATACGTGATTGTGTGAATGTGCACAGGCAAGGGTGAGGGCGAGGCTAGTCGCCATGAGTGCGCGACTCCACTTGGGCAGGACCGCACGGCTTGATTGTGGGTGTGGTGCACGAGTCCAGGGCAAGCACTGGGGGATGCACGAGTGATGCGAGTCCGATGGAAACAAACAGAATTATTCAGGACAGACATATCCGGGTCAAATTCAAGTTAGTGGGTTTACTTGGTCCCGACCCGATTTTCTAATGAGTCATGAATTGAAACTTGAATCCATCTCGTTTGTTAAATTGGTCGATCGGAATTCAAATTTTTAGGATAATTGATGTGTACATTCATGCATAAAAAAAAAACAAATTATGAGACAATATAAAAAATATCTAAAATATGAAAATATAATTTTTAATAAAATCTTATTATTTTGTCCATTTTTTGAGCTTCAATATGCCAACATTGTATTCTTATCCTTTCACATATGAAGAAATTTGATATTTATCCCAATTCCAGGTTATTTTCATTTGCAAACTGGTGTTTAGGGGTGTGAGCAAGCCGAGCCAACTCATGAGTTTGACTAGTTTATGGGCTCGTGAGCTGAGCTTATCAAGCTCACGAGCCGGCTCGATTCACTAATAATATTTTTAGAATCTTTTTTATTTTATTTATTATATATTTGAACCCGCCTAATCAATTTGAGCCGGCTCACATTCGAGGCAGATAGCTCACGAGGCGATCACGTCAAGTTGTGTTGCGTGCCTTTGGAATGAGCGTTGAAGACGACGAAATACGGAAGATGGTGAGACATCAGACTGTCGGAGGCTCGCGAGTTTGACGGCTGGGGAAGACGCCGGTGGCTCGCGAGCGGAGGCGGAAGACGCGGATGACCACTGAGGCTCGTGAGCCGGCTCAAGCTCGTTTATAGTGCAACGAGCTCAAATCTAAGCTCACTTTCCGACTGACGAGTTGAACTTGATAATGTCAAAACTCTAGTCGTGTACACCCCTGCTGATCAGCGTTTGATATCATCAAAATGAAGTACTACACAATGTGGGCTCCTAGGAGTCAAATAACTACTTTAATTTTAACATTGCATGTGAATAGAATGATATAATAAGTATGAAATTATTTAAATAAAATTTAAATGATAGAATAATCAAATAATATAAAATTTTTATTAAAAAAAATTGAATTCACACCTTAATAATATCTTATATAATTTTAAATTTAAAAATATTCAGTGTTTAAATTTAATTCAAATTTAATTAAAGTATAGCTTATATATAAATTTATATATTTAATATAAATTATTATTAATTTTCATTATATTTTTAGATATAACTTACACGTATAAAATATATATTAAAGTCATATTATAAATTGAAATTTAAAAATAATAAAGGTTAGATCATTTGTTATTAATAAATAAATAAATAAAGAAATTTATAGTACATAAATAATAATTTATGTATATAATTTATTTAACAGTTTTAATTAAAAATA